ACTGTTCTTCTTCCTGGAGCTGCCGAACGGTCGTTTCCCACCGGAAATTGTTCTGGCCATCGGAGAATATCTGCCACGTCGACATTTCTCGGCCGGCGACTAGGGTTTCGCGGTTTTTTTCCGTCAATTTTGTTATTCCGAGCGAAGTGAAGAGAGAGAGCATTCGGACATTTGGAATTTTTCACATTTTAAGAAAGCGGGAAACAAAAATTTAGCGAGTCAATTTTCGCGGACGGATAGTTTGGACTCAGATTGTATCCAAATTTGTGGGCCATAGAATTATGAAGCCCAAAATTACTCTTCAAGCTTTTCTTGTAGTTGTATTAACCTTTGGGCTGGCACAAATAAGAAGAGGACTCAAAAACTAAGCCCAAGCCCGTGTATCCCTCGCATCGGGTCCAAAGAAAACATTGCGGGTTGGGTCATGGGTAAATGTTGACGCCATCATGATGAGAAAATTTTATAACTACCTCACTTTAAGACTAATATTTCAAAGTATTTACCACCCATACACAATACCAAATATACTCCAAAGTTAGACAAATTTATGCAAACACGCAAATTATAAGAATTATTTCAAAAAATTAAATAAATAATCAAGTACTCTCTCTCCTCCTATTTTTCTTCTCTTATTTTTCTTCTTTCTTCTGTCTCTCTCCTACATCTCTCTTCACGTTTCTTCTTCTTCTTCCTTTTTCTTCCTCTTCTTCTTCTTCTTCTTCAAATATACATGCCTAAAAAATTTTAAAAAAATGATAAAAGAATGTACTTGCAAAATTTATTTCAAAGTAAGTGGTCCATTAAGCAACAAAAGAAAAAAAAAATCTTACCATATCTGTGAATCATGTATATGAGCAAGAGAAAAAAAAAATTGTGCAACAGCAACAACAAAAAAACAACATAACACCTATTAAACAACATATAAACAACATGGAATAAACAAAAGTTCAATCAAATTTTTGGTTACGATCTGGGCTAACCCATTAAAAAACTGACAAAAATTGCACAGAAAATAGAGAAAAATAAATCAAACCACCAAAAGGAATAGTCAAATCCCATTTTAATACCATAAATAAGAAAATTAGCAAAATTAATCACAAAAAAAAAATTACAAGAGAAAAATATTTCAGTTATAATTTCTTGCAGACGTATCAGATAATTTACTCTATTAAAAACCCAACTCAGTAACAAACACTAAAAAGTTTCAAATTTGTCAATTTCTTCAAAATCACTCAACCAATTGAAGAAATTTAACACACCCCATTCAGAAAAAAAAAATATATATATATATATGAAATTGAGCACCAAATTACCTCGCCCTTGGACTGCACATAGACAACTCATGGAATGATCAGATTCCAAGGTCTCTCTGTAGTCTTGAGCGATCGTCACAAAAAGCGGCTAGTCGATTAAAATAAATCAAATAAACTACAAAAAAAGAAGCACTAAAAAAAATTACATAACAAAAAAAAACTAGAAAAAATGAATCATTGAAATAGAAGAACAAAAAAGAAAAGAAAAGAGGAAGACAATGGAAACTGACGAGAAAGAAAGAAGAACTGACGAGGAAGGAAGAAGGAAGAATACAAAAGTACAGTTTGCAAATAAAATTGTTAGATAATCTCAAAAGATGTGTGGGTAACAAAATTAAGATTGTTAATAAAAATAAAAATTGAAAGCCTAAAAACGTTCTCAAAAGGAGTGTAATTGAAAATGTAAAAAAGTAATATTGACTAAATTATTTGTTAGAGTATTAATATAAACGGTTTGAAAAAACGGACATGTGGTGTCATTATAATTTCCATCATGCTGGGTTGATGACGGCAGTGGGGTCCACAACATACTTAAAAAGTGGCGGGAGTAATTAAGCTATGGTTAAAACATAAAAGGTCGAAGGCACGGGTCATGCGACCCATAACTCGAGTCATAAAATTTAGGGTTACACATTATTGACATCATTTAGGCTATTTTTGGTAAAACTAACTGATAAGTTTAGTTATAATTTAGTTGTTTATCTAAGGAAGCTTATCAAATAAGCTTGTCCTACCAAATTAGACTTATAATACAAGGAGTTTATAAGCTAACTAAATAACTTATAAGCTAATTTATCTGTCTATCAAACATAGTATTAACACATTGCGATCCTTAATATGGGTGTAAACGAGTGAAGTTAAGATCAAATTTTTTTATATTTGAAATTGAGTTTATCTAGTTGAATCGCGTTTATTTCGTTAACTACATAAATTATTTATTCATATTGACGAAGGGTAAGCCATATTAAGATTCCATAATCTCCTTTGACTTAAACCTCTCTAAGTTTAATTAGTTAAATAATAACAATAGGCAAAAGTTCGTGCACGGGCCAGGCTTGTTTTCCGCATTGAATATCTTCTAATATTTTTTTTGGTACAGGTACCTTCCAGTTTTCGGATCCACAGGAAAACCGATTAATCCGAAATTGAGCCGGGTAGGACCACAAGGGCGGCAAAGCTCTCCCTCAAGAGTTTTTAACACTACTAATATTATATTCTTAAACACAATTAATATTTAGTTGGCCAGAATTTATAATTTAGTTTTTTTGTTTAATATTGTTTATATCACATTGCCACCATTTGTTGGGTGATGGATACTTGAGAAAGTTATTTGAGTGAATTAATTATATATATGTGTTGTATAAATGCTGAGATTAATTAGCTGTTTGATTATGGATTGTCTAATTTGAAGTGATTAAAAATAGTAGATATATATGATGTCTTTAAGCAAAAGTGTCGCATCATTTTCTACTTATATGCTTGCTACCACACTATAGTGCGTTAATTGAAATTAGTAATTTAATGTGGCAATTGGTAATAGTAATTTATCATTATATATCCATTGACGGGGATGGCTAACGCTGGAGGGTCATTCGTGATCATCTTGGGAGATAGGTCATTGGTGTTTTTTTTTTTTTTATGAATATCGGGTTTTGTTCGTAGCTGGTGCATTAATTTTCCCTCCATTTTATATTGTTGATAATTAACTGATATACGGTAAATTATGTCACATGTTAACTCTATGTCATTAATTTATATTTATTATTAAATATTGTTTACTCTTATCTTTATTTATAATATTATTTTCTTTCTTTTTTAAAAGAGTATAATAGTGGTTCCCCACTTCTTTAATGGAGTGACTCGAACTCGGGACCTATTTATGATTATTATTTAATATTATTTACCCGTGCATCGCACAGGCTATGCACTAGTTTTACCTAATAAATAGAACCTAATAATTTTACTTAATGAATACACAAACTTTTCATATAACTAAAAACAAACGGTTACTTTTACAATTACAAATATAAATGTTACTATTACAAATTTATAGTTACAAAATCCATAAATAGTGAACATTATTTTATCTAAGTAAATCAATTTAAGCTAATTAGCAAAAAATGTTTTACTTTTTTGATTTTTTTTTTTAATAAAATCATTACTATGCAAACTTAATTGTGAATGATTAGTTAAGCATTTATTCAGAATACATATTTGTAAATACAACTTTCATAATTGTTTTTTTCAGTATATTCAATATATAAACGGAAAATACAGGTATAACATGGAAAAATACAATAACAACAATAAAAAAGTATTTTAATCCTGCATAAATGATAAACAAAATATCATTTTTTTTATTTCACACATATCATGCAAACCAATAAAAAAAACAATATACTAACCAAAAAATGAATGCAAAATCAGCATATATAACGGTAAAATCCCATAGACATTGGGATAACAATTTTTTTTGGCTATATCTCAACTAAAAAATAGATAATCTATTTGTCAATATGAATACACCAAATCAGCATTGTAACATTAAATTCCATAGATGTTCCCACATATTTAGTACTAACAAATTATAAACCAGATGAAATTAAATTACTAATCATGTATACATATGGACATCCACAAGACATCCATTTAATTAAATTACTAATCATGTATATCATGGGTGTGAGGGAAATTAAATTTCACCTCCATTTAACAAGTATTTGATATAATTTGATTAGTGCTAAATGTATACATTATTAAGCTAAACTTGATCGATTCACAAGACATCCACTGAAGTTGTGAATTAGTAATATCAAGTAGAGTTGAGCTCATTAAAGTTGTGAATTAGTACTCAATTCATGATTTTACCAAGTCGAGCTATGCTCATCAACTATTTGAATATGTGCTTAGTTTCGGAGATTTTATTCATGATTTGGCAGAAGGACGGGTTTTTTACATGCTGAATATGTCGTATCTAATCTCCGTTTACAATGTTAGCGTTGTGCAGAAAGGTCCTTGCTCTGATGTTGTTATTTGACAAGGAAATACTACTGCGTGGAAGTTGTGTGGCCTTGACGAGACTACCTCATTATGTATAATATTTGATGTTAGCAAGAAAGAGAGCCCAAATTTTATAACACCGTCAACAACCAGTTTAATTTCCAGTTTCAATAATATGCACAATCCCAAAAACACATCTCTTTTTAATACTAAGAGTCCTATTCTAAGAAATATCTTGCCTAACATGGTGCAAGATATTTATTTAAATAACCATCATATTTATTCAGAAAAGCAATCGCGGTCTCGTCTCCATCACTGCACACATGGAAAAATAATAGGCAGTGAAAGTATGGTATTGGTAACATGGACAAATGTGTCTTCGTGCCTCTATACAGTCATATTTGTAACAACCTCCAATCTTGGGGTTTCATAGTCTTTGTTTTTGCCCCAATTAACAAAATAGAGCCCTATAATTATTATAACTGCACCAACCACCCTGCATAAAAAATAAAAAAATAAAAAAAAATATTACATTTGTATAACTCCTTGAAAGGGCTTGGATATTCATTTTACTTAGAAGGCAAATTTGCATATAAAGGCACCATCTTTGAGCCTTTTGCAATTTAATTACTACATATTGATATTTGCATTTAAATCACCATATTTATGTTTCGATCTGCGTAACATATGAAAAATGATGATTAAATTGCAAAAATATGATATGCAATTTTGTCTAATTACAATAAGTGATATCTTGCTAAGTTAAATGTAGTACACATATGATATTTATAAAAAAAAAATGCGATCTTTGACTATCTATTAACATATTGGTTGTTATTTAGGCCAACTATCAACACTTTTTGTTCGTCAATATCTATCTATCTATCTATTTATATAATAAATAAATATATGAGATGTAACAAAAACCATAATCGTGTACTTACCTTCCCAAGTACATTTGCTCTGCCAGAATAATCGAGCTCAAAATCGCGACAATAACCATGTTCAAAGGGCTAAATGCAGACACAAAAACCGGGCCTCTCTCTTTCATTACTACGCCTTGCACGTAGTATGCGATGCCCGTACAAAACACTCCCTATAA